GTTGAAACTAATTCGACGAAACCATAAGAACGGACGTTTGGCTACGTCTCATGGTATTACGGGGCGCGTGCTGCACGCGGATCCCGGCGAACAGCTGAGAAGAAACCCGAGAGTACGACGAAGCAAAGTCAGCGTTGCCGCCTGGAAATAGCTTTGGCAACGGTCACGCCAACGTGCTGTCTTGGTCCATAAAATGGAAGATTACTAGCGTGTTGCTTTTCCACACACGCTTCTTGTCGCGCCTCGTTCCGCCTCTCATCCCGTACCGCGGCTAATATAGATCATACACTAACGATTTCTGCTGTACGTGTCGTTTAGCTCGTAATAACGGAACTTTGTCGAATTTGTTGCACCTTGGCTGTCGCAGGATCGTTCAAAGGTGTCCACAGCTCGTTGTCCTGCTTGCCTCATCCGTGGCGCTTCCTTCTTGGCTGACCGTTCGCTTTTCTAGGTTAGGTCAACAATAAGTTCAGCTCGGGGAACCCTGCTAGCGATCCGAGTTCCGAGGAAAGATTTAATTTATAATTATTACCAGCTCTGGTAATTCTCTGGTAAGCTAAAATTTGGAGATTTTCTCATGCTCTCGCACAGATTTTTGCGATGTCTAACTTGTAAATGGAGGAGAAGAGAGAGCTGGGTTAACACGTTAAGTGCCCAGACCGTTTTACTTGCCGTTCAGGCCCAGACTCGGCTGTCAAGTGGGCTACCGAGGTGGGCAAGGTGTTCATAAAACTCGGAGATACTGCACCAATTGTTATAACAGGAATTCCCAAACGTTAGATCCAAAGATGGCGAAGAATTTCCTGATTCCTGTGGACCGGTGTAACACTTAACCGGTGTTATCCAACTGAGTAAAGTACAATCAGCCATTGAGTAATAGACTTATTTGATTGTACTTTACTCAGTTGGATACAATATTCCTTCGTTCCTATCTATACACTGCTTTCGTCTCTCAAAACTCCGTCGTCCGCTCATCGAGCTGCCCTCTTAACAGTGGGCCTTCTTTGTTAATCTGCTGCGAAGATCAAGCGGATCGTCGCTTCATTTTGAGACTCCAGTTATCGTTACTACGTGCTCGTCACCCATGGAACTCTTAGGAACTCAACTGTTCGAAAATTGGAAGTTTCTGTGACAATTTTTGTGCTTTATCATCTGTCGTCACTCATGCCACCTAATCGGCAACCAGAGCTCGCGTACTCCTAGCAACTCAAATGTTCGAAAACTGGAAGTTTCTGTGACAATTCTTGTGATTTTTCATCTGTCGACTTCTCAGTAGTAACTCCCCAAAGTCGAAGATTAAACAATTTTTAAATAAAAATTAATTTCAGTCGATTGGATGACAAAGCGTGAACCAGCGAAGGATCATTGGAAATCATGGCAAATAAAGCGTAAACGTAATAATTCAACTCGAAGATTGTCCAAGTTTACTAAATCGTTTTACAAGACCTGTCCCGTCAAAGCAGCGTGTTATAGGATAGTCTGAATACAAATCAAGTCTTTGCAATCGGAGAAGATGCCATCATCTCGCGTTCTTCATCTTTCAACGACCTTTCTCTGGCATTCGAGTGTAACAATCGAACCTGGTTAGACAGAAGTTATTGGCCAAGATGGGAACGGTCCTTTCAATTGGATCCGATAATAATATTCAAAGAGGACGGTAAACTATTCGGTACCCTTGATAAAATATTTCCTTCGTTTGCACAGCGCTCTGTTGGAGACCCGGCTCGGTTCTTTCGGCAGGTTAATTTTCCACCATTTTAAACGCGAACCAAAGGGAATTAATTAAATCAAAGATTCGCGAAATTTGTTCTACTACACAAACCAGGACCCCGGCAAAGGGAAGACGTTCCGTCGCTACTCGAACAGCGGGTCAAGATTTTAATCCGATAATTGTCACTTTCTCAAACCGAAGACCCTGGTCTGCGGTACAGCTTCGCGCGAAAAATTTCCTCCACTGTTTTTAGAACACTTCAACCATCGGTAGAATGGCTCCCTATTAATCATCGACAGTCCCTCTCTCTGTGTCGCGAAACGTTAATCAGCGAAGGGATGTTGAAGAGGTGGATCAGGAAGTATAATATATATGACAAACGATGGTGTATCCTATGGGTTCCAGATTTTCTCGAGATTATTCCAATGTATACAAATTTTACATTGGAATGTAACAATGTATCTCTCGCTTGATGGCGTGGAAGAAGATTAATCGAGGTTTATACGTTCCATGAATTTTACCTTTCCATGGGAAAATGGGTGTGACGAAATAGTACGAGTATGCGATAACAGATCAACGAGGTTTTAGTCGAACGTGTTGGACCTGATCGTAAAAATTGACTATTGTATTGGGTTAAGTAAATAAATAGGAAATATCGAATTTCGCTGTGTTTATAAAACAGTAAGCTAATAATAGTAAGCTTCCTGAATTTTTTAATCCTGAATATCGAATAGTAGTAAATTTGACTTAATAGTTCCACTCTACAATCCATTTTCTTTTTTGGTAAATATATATGTATGAAAATTGTATCGTACAATTGTATCTTACCTAATTAGAAGGCAATGTTTATTAAAAAGCCTATACATAAAATTCGATATATAGTGAACTAAAATGGTACAAGTTATTCTATTAAAATCTTGTAATTAATGAGATTTAGTACTTCTATTTTATCTATATTTTTCTATCTTCTTGAACCTTTTAAATGAAGAATTTTCTTTTCCTTGTAAATATATATTAGAAAATTGTATCATCCAATTATATCTTATTTAATTATAAAACAATGTTTGTTAAAAAGGCAATATATAAAATTCGATATACAGTGGACTAAAATAGTAGAAATCATTGTGTTAAAACACTGTAATTAATGAGATTTAATGGCTTTATTTTATTCATATCCTTCTATCCTCTCGAACCTTTTAAATGCAGAATTTTCTTTTCCTTGTAAATATGCATATGAAAATTGTATCATCCAATTAAATCTCATTTAATTAGAAGACAATGTTTTTTTAAAAAAGACAATATATAAAATTCGATATATAGTGGACTAAAATGGTAAAAGTTATTCTATTAAAACTCTGTAATTAACGAAATTTAGTACTTTTATCTTATCCATATTTTTTTATCTTCTCAAACCCTTTAAATGAAGAATTTTCTTTTCCTTGTAAATATACATATGAAAATTTTATCACCCAATTATACCTCATTTAATTAGAAGACAATGTTTATTAAAAAGACAATATATAAAATTCGATATACAGTGGACTAAAGTGGTAGAAATTATTCTATTAAAACCCTGTAATTAATGAGATTTAATGGCTTCATTTTATCCATATCCTTCCATCTTCTTGAACCTTGTAAATGTAGAAAAGCAGTTAAATTTCGAATCTAGTCGCATTTTATCTACTAATATAAACCGTCATTAAATTTCAAAAAAATTTCATCTAAATTTTATCTTCCATTTCCAGACTCGACGTATAGTCCTCATTAATTCGCCTAATTATTACGACCTCGGTAGTAAATATGTGAGTAAATTTTACAACTTACATCGCATCCTTCCTCAAAGACATTCAAGAGCGAGTACCTCGTTGTAATTCAGAATAACTGCGCCATCATTTCCTATCGAGAAGTCAGCGTCATTAATGACACGGTGATCCCTGATTTCGGTAGCGGTTAGATAAGGGATGCTGTAAAGTTTAAGTACTTTTCATTTCCGGTTGCACAGACAGCGCAGTTTCATTTCGGTATAATCGCGCAGCTGGGTCTCGTACCCTTGTATCGCGAGTTTCGGTTAAAATAGAACGTGCAATTATCTCCTTCGTTGTTGAAGATATGTACAACAGCACGTCCCACGAGGTGCGAAGATTTTTCGCCAGAAAATCATCCTTAGATAAAAACGGAATATCGCAAATTCGGCTAAAAAATACTTGTCAAATTTCTGTTATCTCTCAGTCTTATTCCTCGTCGTTTAAACACAAGGAAATTAATTTAATTCTATGAAAATAGGTATTCTTGTGTGTCGTTGTTTGATAAATACTACTAATAACCAACGAAGTATTACGTGTATCAGATATGCGAAGAATAATTAACAACCGTACAACCTTGATAATCCGAATAAATATGAAAGCAGAGATGTTGAGAGGGTGAAAGAATTTTTGAATAATAACAGGAGGTCGTGTTCGAAGAAGAATGGAATCGTGTTAATGTGAAAGCAGAAAACCTGATAATGTTATGTCACGTTTAAATTGTGCGGAAGATACACTCAGAAGTTACTTTTCCAACAGCCTTTGTGTATAATGAAGAGCCAGAATTTTCCAGCCGTGTAACATTAGATGGAATATAATTAAGAGATGTATCTAGATATTTAACAACAGAATCAACAAACAAACCAAAATTCACTGTGGGCAAAATTAGTACTCGCTTCCGTCGAGGCAGAAAATAATATTGCATAAAATGTAAAATTAAACAAGTTTATAAAATAATTTCAAATAAATCGCAATCGCGTATGCGGAAGAAATAATAGGTATACAATCTGACGGGTTCATGTTTGTTGAAATAAATATTTTAATTGCGATTGAATGGAGAAAAATAAAAAATGAGCGTGACTAAGTTTGACGTGCTTTGAAATATTATTAATTAAATAATATTAATTGGATAAAGTTACACAACATCCGTTTAGTTAAATTTTCCTCTCATCTCTGGGGTGAAATAGAATGACTGGATATTTTTAAAAATCCTACTTTCCTTTGAAACCAATCTTTCTTTCTAATGGAAGCACGGTTCTATATTTGATGAATTATCAGTAAAATCCAGATCACTTTTATTAGGTTGGTGCATATGAAATGTCGGATTTTTTTACATGCGAACGTTTGTCTCCCTGCTTTCGTAATACTTTTGTTTTTGGCATAACCTCGTTTATAGTTGTACTGTCCATTGCCAGAGTTACATTTCAACAAAGGAGATTTTCGCGAAAGTGTTCCCTTTTGTTATTTGTTTTGAATTTTGTAGCAATATGAATTCAACCGATATTTGTGTAATTTTTTTGTATGTGTATAAACTTGGTAATAATGCTGCAAAAGCTGCACGCAACATAAACCAAGCGTTTGGGGAGAATGCAGTTAACGATCGAAAAGTGCAGCGTTGGTTTGAAAAATTTCGTTCTGGTGATTTTCCACTACAAAATGATCCGCGTGGAAGACCCAAAACTTCTGTGAAAAATGATGATCCGAAGGCATTGGTGGAAACGAATTCAACTGTATCCATGAGAGAACTTGCTACCAGGATGAACGTTGATCATACAACAATATTACGACATCTTTCTGAAATTGGAAAGGTAAAGAAAATGGATAAGTGGGTACCGCACGAACTAACCGAGCGAAATAAGCTGGATCGGTTGAACGTATGCTCATCGTTACTAACCCGATTTCATCGACAGCCATTTTTTGATTGGAATATTACCTGTGATGAAAAATGGGTTCTTTACGACAACAGGAAAAGGTGAGCTCGGTGGCTTGATAGGGATGAGATTTGTGCCCATACTCCAAGCCCATAACTTCATCCACGGAAGATTTTAATCACAGTTTGGTGGAATGTGACTGGGATAATTCATTACTCGTTCCTTCGAACTGGGCATACAATTATGGCCCAAAGCACTGCCAGTACATTGATGAGATGCACGAAAAATTGAAAATTATTGAAAACATCACTTCTCAACCGGCATGGCCCACTGCTTTTCCATAACAATGCTCGGCCGCATACATCGCACAAAACAATTGCGAAATTAAATGAATTAAACTATGAAATTTTGCAGCACCCAGCCTATTCACCTGATCTCTCGCCAACGGACTTTCATTTTTTTTAATATTTACAACTGTTTTTACGTGCTGAACAGTAAGGAAATGAAGACAGTTTGCAAAATTCAATATCAGAGCTTATTGATTCTAAAGATCAGAATTTTGTTAAGACAGGCATCTATGCTTTAAAGTCTCATTGGGAAAGGTGTATTGAAGCGAATGGAGCATATTCTGATTGAATAACCAGATTTTGAAAAAAGATATGCAGTTTCAAACATTCACTTAAAAATCCGACATTTAATACGCACCAACCTAATAGTACCATCGGTCAGACATTTTCAGTGATACAAACTGGCATTGGTTATACATTTCCAGTGATATAGGTTGGCATTGGTCAGAAATTTTCAGTGATATCGGCTGGCATTGTTCAGACATTTTCAGTGATATAGGGCCGAACTGGTCAGTCATTTTCAGTGATTTAGACTGTCATTGGGAAGACATTTTCAGTGATATGAGCCGGCGTTGGTCCGGTATTTTCAGTGATATAAGCTGTCATTTGTCAGATATTTTCAGTGACGCAAGGTAGCATTGGTCAGACTTTTTCAGTGATGCAAACTAGGATTGGTCAAAAATTTTTAGTAACGCTAAGTAGTACCATCGGTCAGACATTTTCAGTGATGCAAAGTAGTACCACCGGTCAGACATTTTCCGTGCTACAAAGTAGTACCACCGGTCAAACATTTTCAGTGATGCAAAGTAGAACCATCGGTCAGACATTTTCAGTGATGCAAAGTAGTACCATCGGTCAGACATTTTCCTCTGTCTACTTATATTCACTATATATCATTTTAATACTAGAATAGGTCAAAATGATTAATTCCAATTTTTCACGTTGCAATTATGAAAAATGTGCAATCGCTTTTTATCGCATTAAAGGTCGATAACACCAACGCTACACATAACTACCTGTACATACTGCGATATATCGAAACACCCATTACAGATCAGTAATTTCAGCGTTGATTGTAATTTTCCTCGCTTCGGACTATTTTTAACCCCAGCAGGGTGTTAAATTGAAAACCGATACGATCCTTTTTAAGACTACGTGAAATAATACGATCCTAATCACTCTTATAAAAAACGACCTTGCAGTTTCCCGTCTAGAAAATTGTTCCATCCCCTTAATCACGGAAAATTTGATCAAGTGGTTTGTTCCTGATAGATTGCACCGCAAGCCGTCACGACAATACCACAGCGACGCAAGGCCGTTGCGGTTCAAGTACCAATAAAAATTCGTCCTCGAGTATTATTAAATTTCACGGAGAGCTAATGCGTCAAATCTAGCACGGTTGCAACGGTACATCCCCGTGCGCTGCAATAAATGGTTCTAATTGCCCGTGACACTGATAAGGATAATAAAATGACGCGGTCCAGAATTTCCAATGGAACCCCTAAAATTCCCGGTACCGTTAACGCCCTCGAATTTCGTTAAATATCGCGCGTAAAATTGAAAACGATGAATTAAAAATTTTTTATTTTCCATCTATGTACAAAGTGTCCCATTGAAATCGATCCAGCCGAATATCCTCCAAATCATTAACCCCGTTTCTCGATTAAAGATTTTATCAAATAAACTGACTGACACGCAAGGGTAGCATCCATCACAAAATTAAGTAATAATGTACTTAAATTAAATAATTTACAAAATTAATAGTAATTAAGTTGTAATTACGACACGTGGTATTGCGATGATTTGATATTCGCATGACATAAACCATACTGAAGCTCGATTTACGTTTTCTCGAGCAAAGCTCGAAGAATTGATATCGCGGTTTAATAATATTAACCCTTTGCACTCGGCGATTTTTTCGTTACAGGAAAATAGTAAAATGCAAGACTTTCTGCCATAAAACCGACGATATCTCTAAAACGGTAAATAAGAAATCGTATGCAAATTAAGACGTAGAATTATTTTACTTCGATATTCCACGCATCGTTGGATAATTATAAATTTGATATAGTAATTAACATCCATCTTTAGAATCTGATTAAATAGCGACTGAGAGGCGCCTCTCGAGTACAAAGAGTTAACGCTAAGGTTACAGACGCTAGCTGTATTCCTATTTCTACGGACACCTGTCAAATTTAAAGGGAAAGGAAACCACGTGTCTTTTCATTTTTCAACGATTATGATAGGATTTTATGTAGGTTTTACTTACAAATCTCAAGAGCTTTATTGGATATCTATTTTACTTATATCGGTATACACTATGTTTCTCACATTAGATGTTACTCAGAACTAAATTCAAAACAACTCACACAGCACGTCCACGCTCATCCTCACACACACACTCATACTTTCATACATGATTCGTCGATAACCAAGCACAGGACGTTACCGACTTGCAATTGAATAAATATTCGTGTTTCCTCAAATGTAAATCTAGTGTTAAATAAATAATTTAAATTGCTCGTAAGGCATCAGTGAACGCGTATCATCGTGTATGTATACGTTTGGTATTGTTTAATATTCTCGTCGCAAGTACTTCTATTTGTGCGCACTTGGTTTTATCCGGTCCAACAATGGCGCGAGAGAAGAATATTTCCAAAGCTGTACAAATACTTCAGTTAATTAAAAACTCCGTGGAAATTGTTACAACGCAGCGCGCGCGTAACTGTACCCCGCGAGAAGCACTTTTAATTAGCGGTGATTTCACGCTGAATTAGATAACGAAAATAAAACGTTAATAGCGTGCATTAATAACCGGAGAATTATTAAATCAGCCGCGATGATAACGCGTCGAAATTCCCGCGTCTCGCGGCTACAACCATTCCCGTCATCTGTCCAGCGATTGCCAGCGACACTGACAAGAATAATAAAATAATGCAACGTGCAGTGTCCGCGACTGGGAAAAAAGCTGTCACTTGTGGAATTTCTGCTTTCGACAAACCTCTCTATATCCCTCTCTCTCTCGCTCCCTCTCCTCTCTCCGTTCGCTTCTTCCCCCTTTTTCGCATTTGGCAAGTTCAATTTGTTCACCGGTTGCGATTCACGGATCGTTTTCTGTTCGAAAACAGCCATAAGAGCTCTATAGTGCTCTTAGCGGGGCCGCAATAAATTCGCGTGGACGCAATCGTTCGTGCCGCAAATTCGATACGTCGATGCTTGGTATTGGTTTAAAACGGATCTCGCTGTCAAATTTGCCGAAATTCGTTGTATTCGCTCGGGGTGGATTAATGTCGAATTCATTATATCGAGATATCGCGAGTAAATATTTTTTATTTTCATCTTAATAATCTCGATCGAGGATTGAAACGAGCATCATCGCGGTCTTGACAGTCTTGATCAGCGAGCGAGATTGAAGTTAATTTTATGGACTTTGGTTACACAGTGCATACTCGATAATTTGCACTTGCTACTACGTGCGTATTGTACTTTGCTATAGTGGACAGGTAAACCGCACCGAGACGAGCGTTAACGCGATAAAACGTTTTTGAAATTATATCCATCACACCACGGCAAGACGCGAATACTGACCCAATTCCAATTTTATATTCACCTCGCGGATACATCGATTTTGCGCAACACTTGCAAGCGAATTCGATATACATGCGTGAAAGCTTTCGCGACATGTATTAATCTCTTTAATCGAATACACGACGAATTTACTATTGTCCAAGCAAGCATCTGTAGATGAGACGATTAAAAGATCCAGTGAAATTATACACTATGGTAGGAAATTTGTTTTTCCGGGCTCGCGAATAGTATAATAATAATAATAATAATAATAATAATAATAATAATAATAATAATAATAATAATAATAAGTAATAAAATGGCAGTAAAATCGAATGCTTAAACAGTTGCACTAACACAGAGATACCTGCAGTAATAATTCAAGCTTAATATTCAAAATAGATTTATTTTTCAGGTTAATCGTAATTTTATTTCACCTGACCTATATCAGGCGCCATGCTTCACACCCCGCTCCACATATCTAACATATCCAATAAAATTATGCAAATCACGGATGAAACATACACTAAGCCGTTTTTGACCAACATGATCCCCAGGCCATTTATTGTGGTAGTGGTTACATAGATTTTTAAGTATATATGTGTTGGAATGAGTGGAACAAGAATGCATGGGATTCCAATATGTAATGAATTCAGGTTATTATGATAAACGAGTATGCGTGTAATGATTGAGGTGTGTGTGAATTGTATATGTCAATGTAAAGTATGAAGAAGAAAGAAAAAGAGAGTGATTTGAGATACGTGAGTTGCAATTGAGTTATAATAGTGAGAAGACGTGTGAGAGAGTAATCGTGATAAATTAATAATATTTAAAAGTTATATTTTTTTACAATCTTTCTAATTAAATAAAGAATTGTTCTTGTTGTTAAATTTCATCCACCATCAAAATTGATATATTATCACGCGATATGTCACTACATCATCAGTCCATAAATAATTAGCTTGTTTAGAGTAGTTATCATACCAAGTACACCAGTTCAACTGTAAAAGTCAGTTAGTTCTAAAATTTTCGATTAGTGCAAAAGAACTAGAAGAGTAGCGACGTTTTGCAGCGATTGCCGGAATAAACCATTTTTATGCATCCCTTGATTTAAAAAGGTCAACCATTACGTGTAATTAATAAATATCGTATGTATAACAATTTAACAAATTGATGTGCTTCGTCCTATACTGCGTTTTGCATAATGCCTCATTCTTTCAATGGAAATATATTTCTGTCAGAATTAAATTTGTCATGAAACATGTTTTCAGTGTATTAAATAGATATGTCTACGTGTACCATTTATAGTACCACAAGTGTATATATATGTATCGTTAACACTAGATTTACGGAACCCGTCAATTTGATGGGTTGCTCCAATTATACGATGGTAACAGGTTTAATTAACTTATATTAAGACCATTAATATT